TGCTGGGAGGGGAATTTGAGGCAAAGTACAAGTCCATTCTGAGCTTCTCTCCTTTTAATTGTAGAGGTTTATGGTTTTTGTTACATTTGTAATAGAGTTGGTATTAGTTGCTGATTTGCTTAGAGGGTTTACAGGGTTATCCATTTCTTATTCAAATATCTCTAATATCTGGGATACTCTTAGGTCTGTTTAATAGAAATTTAGTGGAGAACAAGATCTTAGTACATGTCATATACTGTCATATAGATATTATCATGGACAGATGGAGAAAGATGACATATCAATATCTATTACAACAAAATGCCTTTAAAGTAGAAGAATTTAGACACACTTTTGTGAAGTTGTAGCTACTTCCATTTTTAAAATAAGTAAATGATTTATAAACCATATAGTTATTCCTAAAAATCTAATGTGGCTCTGGTATATTTCTCCAATGCTTTCTCCTGAGGGTTCTACTGAAGTGACTATTTCAAAATAACTTATATTATCATACTATTTAAAACAATGGCTTGGAACCAGAATTTATAGTAAAATGATGAGTTTCATAATGCTACCTATGATTCACATTTTTGTTCCTCACTAAGTATGTAAGTAATAACTCGTATTTCTAATTAATTCAGGTGACTACACCAAATGGCTTCAGACTGCTGCCAGATAGAGAACTAGAATGGGCTCCCAGCCCCTCTGCCTAAAATTAGTCCTGGGAATACCATAAGGACAAATATGGATCCCAGAAAGTGACAAACAAAAAGAAGGAAAAAGAAGAAGAGGAGAAGGGGGAGGAGGCATGGGAAGGCGAGGAAGAGAGTGGAAGGGAAAGAGGAAAAGGAGGAGAAAGAAGCAGAAAAGAAGGAGAAGCCAGAGGTGGATATGGAGAAGGTGGAAGAGAGGAGGAAAAGGAGGAGGAGGACAACGAGGACAAGGAGGAGGAGAAGGAGAGGCTTCAGTAGTCCTGCAGTTGATCCCAGGGTACTTGAAGGTCCTGGCAAACTGAGTTGGGGGTGGGGGGGTGGGGAAATGGTGGAAGCTGCCTAGAGGCAGAAGTGAGAGGACAGTTTACAAGAAAGCTGTGTAAACTTCTATATAATTTCATATTCCTTATGACTCATGCTTTAATATTTGGTTTTAAAACTCTACCTCAAAAGACCAGCTTCCATATTTATGTCTGGCTTTACTCCTCATTTAAGCAGCATTTCTTCACTCTCCAGAATATTCGTACAGAAAGCCTTTAGGTAGAGCCCCATCCCTACCCTGATGGCAGACCTTGTGAGCATGTGACTCATATTACAGAAGTACAGGAAGTTGATAAATGGCAATTTAAGATGAGAAAGCTCAAATTTTCACTGTTCATCTGATTGTCTGCTTTGTCACTTATCTAGTCTGCTTAGCTCTTTTTCAAGTCTGTTGCTAGAATGAATATTCACTTCAGTGAATATTGAAGTTATCAGCAACAAAATAAACAGTTATGTTTCTTGAGTGTTAGTGGAGACAAGAAAAACGTAGCAAGGGAAGCAGATTAAAACTTTTTGTCTAAGTAATTATGATGCTTTTTTATGGCTATAATAATTGATAATCAAGAATTCTTTAACCATATTTAGAAAATACATATATAAAAAATATTTTAAAGTATTCCAGAGCTTGCCTGGTAGGTTTCATATTTGAGATCAGAGCTATTCATCTTTCATAGTTAATGAACTTGCCATCTACTCATCTTTCAAAACCAAACAACTTATATCAGTAGAAATTTTCACTACAAACATCTTCCAAAACTTTTCTCATATTTGTCAAGGAATTTATGACATAATAGACAATTGTAACAAAAAAATGCGTATATAAGTCCCATTTTCTCATTTTAGTAAGTAATTCTAACATAGCTATGGCCTTCTATCTGAGTAGCAAATTCAGGCAATTATTTTAGACTGCCATTATCTCTCAATCAGGATCTGGGTAGTGTAATATGCTAACCATGTGGCTATTTAAACTAAAATTAATTAAAATGAAATAAAATTAAAGTTCAGTTCCTCTGTCTCAGTAGGCTCATTTCAAGTGCTCAACCCCCACATCTAGCCAGGTACATGGTGTTAGAGAGTGCAGCTGTAGAACATTGCCACCACTGCAGAAAGTTGTATTGGACACTGCTCCGATCTTTACAGATGCCATAAGAAACAGACTAAACTAGAGAGACCATGGCATGCAGCCTACCATGATGTTCTGGCACGTGGAACAAACAGCCATTTCCACATGCACGGAACTATTATGTCAGTTCAGGATGTGGGCTGAGAATCTTAAGCACGCAGACACTTACCCATCTCCGACTCTTCTATTTTTTAACCTTACTAGATTATTCATAAGGTCTTACCATAGACTGCCTTTGTTATTTCAAGAATATGTGATGTTTTTTAATATGGTGAAGACTGGGTCAGCTGTTCCAGAACCAGTGGAAGGGGAATCTGATGACTTGGGGCAGAGATCCTCAAACCTATACAGACTGGGCTATGCCTGCATTCCTGGGGTAGCCCATGTCAGGAACTCTGAAACACTGATAAAACAAAGGGACCTTCTTATCATCTAATTATGCACATCATTTCAGGCACTCACAGACCACCTTGGAGTCCTTAGGGTGTCCTTAGTGGTGTCAAGAGACGACCCGTACTTTCCTGGGGAAGCACTGCTACTCAGGGGTCTTCAGTGAGGTACAAGCTATGATGTTGAGATGAGAAATTTGTGTGACCAGAGACCTGCACTCTGCCCTCACACAGAGAAGTACAGTGCTGGGTCTTGGTGTTTTGCTTTTTGTTTTTTGGGGGGGGATGGGGTGGCCCTGCTTCCTTTAACATCCAAGGCCCCTTCCTTAGGAATGACATCCTAGAAAAGTCCCCTACTCCTACTTAGCATCAATTGTCCCCACGGCAAATGAGCCAAGGAATAAATATGGAGAGATTGCTCACAAGCCTGTGTTTAATAATTTTAATGTCTTATTTTGAATGTTACAGCAATACAATTGAAATGTAGTGGTAAACCTCTAAAAGATAGAAATCTACAGGTTCTAGAATAAGATGTTTTTCTAAATTTATGCTATTATACTACCAGTGACAGCAAATAAATTGTTTCTTCTTTTTATTACTTTTTAGCTTGCTGAATCAGTACCATAATCAATAGTAGCTTAAAATAATTAATATAACCATAAAAAAGAAAAGCAGTATATATCTGTGCTGACTATTGGATTATCAAAGATAAAGAAAAATGATTCATACTATATTTTTATTAATAACTTATTTTCAAGATAATTTTTTCTAGTCTCTTGACACATCTAAAAGTTGCTCTTAAAACTACTTGAACAAGTTGAAATAAGTCTATAAAAATTCTTATTAATACAATTTATCATAGGTTATAATCACCTAAAACACCAAAAGCCACTCGCTTTTTATAAAGAATTATGTCATATTCTTTTACTCAACAGGAACCGGGTTTTAAAGACACTCTACTGTGTTATCTTGTATGAGCCAGTATGTTGACAAGCAAACACAAAATCCATGCAACTGATCAAATAGAAATGAGCCCCCAAGTCCCCAAAATTTGGGAATATGTACTTACATTAAGACTAAAATATGTAAGTTAGTTATACTCGCTATTAATTTTTTTTAATCACATGTTTATTTTCACATAACAAATTCACATTCTAATAGAGATGATTAAAGGAAGATTTAAATGTTACTCACCCCTCCTCCCAAAAAATTTTATGTCAAGATTTAATAAGAAGAATATCACCAGGTTTATCTTGTAATTTGGAATAATTCTAAGTTCAATAGCTGATTATTAGATAAATGCTCAAGAATTATAAATGTTTGATGATAATATGAAAATATTTTTCAAAGACACTAGATATAATGCAAATAGTTCTTTAAGTTCTTTTTACAGAAGAGGGAAAAAGTTAATTTTAATGTACTTTTCTAAGTTATTACTTTAATGAATTCTTCAATTTGTAATTTTATTTTTTAACATTAATTTATGTCTTACTAATTACAAACAATTTCTAATTTGCCTTCAAACATGATCTCTGGACTATTTTGTTAAATGTGACAATTGCTTAATTTAACTGATTTTGGGCCAAAACTTTTTCCTTAACCTGATGTGATATTCAAATGTGTGCAACTGACTTGCTGAGTGCAGGCAGAGAAGCCCTTTTAGGTGATAAATATCACCAAAAGCAAAATCATTGATAACAAAAATAATTAAATAGCAGAAGTCGGTTAGAGATCAGCATTCATTTTTCAAATTAAATGTAAAAGCCTTCTCCTGTTAAGAGATTGGCAAGTTTTTACAAATAACATCAGTGAGCCTTTTAGAAAGAAACACAGTCACATTAGAATGGAGTCATTAGGCAATACATTTATTTTGAAGCCAATTAACCTTTTGTCAGAAAAATGTCTGTGCTGTAATGGCTTCGGCGGTGGAGGTCAGCCTCTAACAGGGCGCGTATGACAGGCATCGCGCAGGCTGACACAGGCTGCGGACGGAGAGGAGAGCACGGAATGGGACCGGCCTTCTTTTGTATTCTACTCTGCATTTCCAGAGAGCAGACAATCTTGACCTACCATTTAGGTAATTAAAGCTTCCATTTGGAAGTGTCCTGCAGGAAGGTGAAATTTGGGGGAGATAAATGGCTGTTGCTCTCCGAATCCGGCCGCCAGTTCCATCATTTGATGGACTGCCTGAAACTGGCTGGGCTGCCAGGATCTCATAAAAATAGAGATGAATTGGGCAGCAGACAATTCTCTAAGGCAAAGCAACTCTGTCATTTTCTTCTTTGCAGGCTGTAATTTAATTGTTAGTCAAGGTGGACGACTGACACAGGGGGGCTTTCTCTAAGAGCTTACCCACCATCTTCCATTTGCTGAGAAATTACTCGGGTTTATTTACTTAGCAGCCAAGTTTGTTTGGCATTGGGAGATGTCACTTAAGCAAGCACAGCTGGCCGTCACAGCTGTGCCCTGACTTACCTTCCAGGCTATTTTGTTTCCTTTCGAATCATGCTCAAGGGCAATTGGGAAGTCACCTCGTTCATAGAATTTTCGAAATGCTGTGGGCTTGGTTGGTCTTTCTTTAAAGGCTCCTGCAGCTGGAGGGCCTCTCACCTTAAAGAAAAAAAAAATAGTAAAAATCAGGTTTTAAGGCATACTTTAAAAAATCCCCAACAAAATAACTTTATTATTATTTTTTTGAAGATTTTGGTTTGTATAAGTATGCTGGAAGATAAAACCACATTATCTAATAAGAGACCATAGATATCTCAGTTAATGCAAACATTTGGGGAAAGAAAATTTATTTTGTAATCACTATTGAGGGTTTACTTTATTTTAAGCTACTTTGGAAAGACTTCCTAGAAAATGTCACTTAAAATATCACTTTATAAGGAAGAGAAGACCGACTTTATGTTTAGGAAAAACATTTTAATAGAGGTGTTAGGTTGTTAGGTCACACTCCCGGGGGGGCCTCCAACATGTTAGGTCAGGCCTTCTGGGGGTGTGGGTATCAGATGTGCCATCTGATGCTGCATAAAAGATGCAAAGAATTGTGCAGAAGTTAGATTGGAAAATATAGTTTATTTAGAAAGAAAACTGAAGGGAGAGAGAGAGAGAGAGAGAGAGAGAGAGAGAGAGAGAGAGAGAAGGGGGGCCAAAGCCAGGAAACAAGCTCAAAGAGCACATGGCCACACCAGAGTCTAGTAAGGCAATGGCAAATGGCTGCTCAAGGTTGAGTGCTTTTAAACATTTCTCTTCGATGGGGACAGGTCATTAAGATGGTTGGGTGGTGGTCTGCTTGACATCATCACAAGGGGTAGGCAAGTGAGGTACTGATGTCAGGTGATGGACAGTAGGCAGATGAGTGGGTTAATCACATGATTGCTGCCATGGTGGGGGGGGGTCTGTCTGTTACAAAAGTCAGGAAGGGCTGATTAGGTTAACCTGGGTCTTATGGGTGGAGGCAAATACTTGAAAAAGAAAAGCTAATTAGTAACAAGCTGGGGAGAGGTAAAGCAACTATCAGTAGCTACCTATGAGAAACTGATTCTGTCCTTAGCTAGTGATTAGAGGGTAAGTTAAGTGAACTGCTAGAAACATGTGATTTAGGCAATGTTAAAATGGCTGCTCATTGGTTATATTAAATCCATGTTACGTCCTATCAAGAGGTGTCTAAGTTCCGAATGTTAAACCTTTTAAAATTTCTAATAATTGTAAATTCCAGTCTCTGGTCTGATATACCTTAGGGAATACTGAAGTAATAAATTTAAAATATGTCCTTTCTATCTTTCTCTCTTTCTCTCTCTCCATATAGATTATTATTTTATATATATATATATATATATATATAAAATGGTGGAATATGTTCTCATATTATAAATATTAACAGTAAATCTATTAAAATTTGATATAAAATTAATGATAAATTAGAAAGTATAGCAGGAAATAAGGTGGCCAACTACGTGTGTGTGTAGCATACATTTAGTAATACAAATTCATGAGAAAGTAACATTAGAATAGGTTGATAAGAATGTTTCATCTCCAAAACTGAAATTTTCGTAAAAGAAGAAATGTTTCCTGCAAAGTTATGCACATTGAGAACATCTTTTAATCTTCATTATTTATATTGGAACTAAGTCATTAGGTTACAAAAATCCAAAGTGATAAGTAAACAATTTAGAAAATAAGTCTGGCTGGGCATGGTGGCTCAACCTGTAATCCCAGCACTTTGGGAGGCCAAGGCGAGTGGATTGCCTGAACCCACGGGTCTGAGACAAGCCCTGGCAACTTGGTGAGACATCATCTCTATAATAACTAAAAACCAGACATGGAGTGTGTGCCTGTAGTTCCTGCTACTTGGAAGGCTGAGGCGGAAGGATTGCCAGAGCCCAGCAGGTCGACACTGGGGTGGCCGTGAGTGTGCCACTGCACTCAAGCCTAGTCGACAGAGTAAGACTCTTAACACATACAAAAAAAGAAAATTAGTCTACTGTATTGGCCTTACATATAACCTAAACATGATTATCTTTCCCTGCTTGTAATAAAAAAGGTAAATACTAGTCATTTTGTATGTTTGTTGTAAAAAAAATCATAATCATTTTGCTAATACTAAATATGGTCAAGATAGCAAATAGTTTAACTTACTGTTTTAAGTTATTATGTGTAAACTTTTAATAGCATTGCTAAAAACTTTAATTTTAATGAATAAATATATTAATATATATTTAAAATAATATATTATAAAATATACACTGCATATATTAGATATGAAAAATACATTATTAATACATATATAAAGGATAATATTTGAAATTGAGTGGGATATTAAGAAATAACTTATTAAGATGATTAAATGCTGAAGTGGAGTTGAAGGGTGAGGCAACACAAAGGCGTTATTAAGTTTAGAACATTCTACTACATAGCACATTATTCCCAGTATATGATTACATAAGTAATTGAGGTGATGCTGGCTATCACCAGTAGGAAGCAAGATATCCTCTTACTTATTGAAGATTTAATTTTTTTCTAGGATTAGAATGAAGAGCCAGGATTTTCAGTCAAATTCACTCAATTGTTAAATAACTACATGTATTTGACAATCACTTTGTGCAGCTCTCTGAACTGGAGTCTATATACAAAGGAGAATATTTTTAACTACAATACTATCATAGAAATTTAGACCTGTGATTCCTGGATGTCGTAATTCGTGGAGGAGTAGATCTTGAATCACATTTTTGAGAATTGATAAAGGATTGACAGATTTTGATCTTGCCAAGGAGTTACTTAAAAAAAAAAATTATCATCAACGAACATGGCACCATTTTAACACCCTCAAAAAAGTGATAGAATATAATATGAAGAGAGAAAACTTGACCAAGTTAAACCAGAATGAAAGTGTGAATACATATTTATAGAAAATTATATGCAATAATGCAGATGTATGAGGGGCTCCCCGAAACCCCAGAAGTTGCTTATTTAAAAAGTGTATTTATTCTTACATGTTTAAACTTCAGTCACCTTCAAAGTACTCTTCATTCGTTGCAATAGACCTATCAAGACAGTTTTCAGTTTTTCCACTGCTCAAAACAGTTTTTGAATTTGTACACTTTGATGCATTTTAATGCTTCTGCCATTTTTTGTTTCACCTCTTCCAGATTAGCAAAACACTTCTCTTTGAGGACATTTTTTTATTCAGGGAAACAAACAAGCAAAAAAGTTACTCAGAGCGACGTCAGGTGAATAGGGAGGGTGGGGGCATGGGGGCCAGGCTGTTTGTGGTAAAAAATTGCTGAACACTTAGTGCAGTGTGGCCAGGAGCATTCATAAATCACCCATCATGAAATGGGTAAATGCACTGAAAGAAATCTCAAAAAAAAAAAGCACTGAAGCCAAATGTAGTCTCTTACAACACTAGCAGGTACACTGATGCCAATGAGTTCCTAGAACACTCACCTCATGGGGAAAACCTGTACTATAAGGGGCCCCCCTCCAAAAAATAATTCCATTTTTTTTGCCCCCCTCCCATAGTGTGTGATGTGTCTGTGTGCACACATGTGTATATTATTATTGTAGAATACAAATTCTACAGTGAAAACCTCATTTATTACATTGTTTTTCTTATTTAACTTTTTATTTAAGTAATTGTATATTTATATGCAGTTGTAAGAAATAACACACAGAAAACCCAATCACCTTTATCTGGTTTCTGCAGTTGCAATATCTTGTAAAACTATGAGACTACAAAGTTATTAATACTAATGCAGACAAGATATAGAACATTTCTATCACCACAAAGATCCCTCAATTTGCCCTTATATAGCCATACTCTTTTATCTCTCTACCCTTTGCCCCCAGCAACAACTATCTTTTATTTACTTCTGTAATTTTGTTATTTCAAGTATCATACAGCATGTAACCCTTTGGGATTTTCTTTTTTTATTCAACATAAATTGCTGCAGATTCATATAAGTTATTGTGTGTACAGGCTGAGTATCCTTAATCCAAAAATTTGAAATCCCAAATGTTCCAGAATCTGAAACTTTGTAAGCACTGACGTGATGTTCATAGGAAATGCTCATTGGAACATTTTGAATTTTAAAGTTTCCAATTAAGGATGCTGAATTGGTAATTGATATAACCAAATCTTCCAAAATCTGAAAAAAATACAAAATTTGAAACATTTCAGGTCTCAAGCACTTCAGATAATGGAGATGCAACCTATACCAATAGCTCATTGCTTTTTAATGCTGTACAGTATTCCATGGCACAGATGTATAACAGTTTAACCATTCACCAGTAAAGTACATCTGGATTATTTTCTATTTTTGGCTATTATGAATAAAGCAGTGAATTTTTAAAATATGCTTAATCAAGTTGAGGAAGTTTCCTTATCTTCCTATTTTTCTGAGAGTTTTAAATTATAAGTAGATGTTCAATTTTGTCAATATTTCCTGCATCAATTAATATGCTCATGTGATTTTTCTTCTGTCACCTTTTGATATGAGATTTGTGGTTAAAAGTCAATATCTTTAACAGTTATAATGCAGCACCATATCTGGCTTTTCAGCTTCTTCTTGAAGATCTTTATTAGTATTTGTTTCATATATCATTTTCCATTTCCATTTCCTTTCATACTACCTGTAACATTATTTTTTAAATAAGGTTTTTGGGTTTCTTTTTGTTGTTGTTGCTGTTGTTTTGGTAGAGATTATATCATTGGGACATTGTTTATTTCATTTTACCAATCTCTGTCTTTTAATTGGTAGTTTAGACCATTTATATTTAATGTAATTATTGATATTTTAAGGTTTAAGTATGCCACGTAATTTTTTGTTTTCTCTTTATTCTATTTTAAAATTTTCTATTTTCTTTTTCTTGCCTTCTTGTGGGTTACTTGAACATATTTAGAATTCCATTTTGATTTATCTATTTTTTTTTTTTTTTTTAGTATATGCCATTATGTTGCTCTTTTGGTGATTTTTTAGATATTACATTATATTATATACATAATTTACCATATCTACTAGTATTATTATTTTACCAGTTCAAATGAAATATAGAAACCTTATCTCTCTATATGTCCAGTTATCCTCCACTATTTATAATGTAATTGT